GAACTGATTATGCTGGGGTATTTAAGGGATGGCCAGACTTGCAGACTCTGCCTTGGTGTTGTGTTCTCTTGGGCCCTGTATCCTGTTCCTGCTCTCTGTTCCTGTCTGATTCTCTGCTGCTGACCCTGCTCTGATCCCTGGCTTGTCTGACCATCCCTCTGCCTGACCCTCTGTACTACGCTGCTTGCTACCTGTTCTGATCCCTGGCTTGTAACCCTGACCATCCCTCCGCCTTACCCTCTGTACTACGCTGCTTGCTACCTGCTGAACCTGGCCTGTGACCCCGACCCATCTCCGCTTGCTCCCCCTGTACCTACCTGCCCTATTGATATTGACCCGGCCTGCCTGACGACGCTTGCTTGTATGTACTGTTATCTGTGGGTGGTTGGTTTGGTTTGGTTTGGTTTTGCACTGTATTATGTTTTAGTATTGCACTGCGTTTATGTTTGTATTGTTAGTGTAAATAAATTATATTGTTTATAACATATCTGAGGTCTGCGTTTCCCTGCGTCAGCCACACACCTCTGGTCACACCTGGGAGCCCTGACACAAAGTGTGACCTAATGGGTGCCCACCATCAGAAGTGGGTGGATGCAGGGCGGTATATTCTAATGGTGGGCATACCACACACTTTTCTGGCAGAGATTTCTTCTCTTTTTTTTCATTCAGTCCACAGGCTGCATACAAAAAAAGAACATAGCATATATACCCAACAAGGACCAGCGACGTACTGGTACATCACTGGACTTTGAATGGTTATACCAGGATGATGCCTACAGCTGCAGGCATCATCGTGATATTGTTTTTTTCAGCCGGCGATCGGCTTTCATATAACAGCAATCCTAGTGGCTAATTAGCTGCAGGATTGCTTTTACAAGCAGCGGAATATGATGCCCCCCCCACTGCCTTCCACGGCCTTCTCGGGCAGTCCCGCGCCATCGGAGAGAACCTGAGAATGCAGCTGGTGTTTCTGCCAGCTGACCATAGAGCTGATTGGAGACCAGAATGGTGCCAATCATCTCTATAGCCTAAGAAATCAGAAGCTACGAGCATTTCATCACTTCAATTTTGCAGGATATAAACAGCGCCATTTTTGTAAATTGGGAAAGCATCTGATCACACCGATTTTGGTTTGATTAAATAATGTAAGGGAAGAGGAGATATCTAGAGTCTGATAAACTCCCGATTTCTGAAAAAAGAATATATGACAATGCCCATTGAAGTTATAGGGGATATTTGCATTCCCTGTGATAGCATTAAAAGTGATCAAAAAAAAAAATGAAAGGTACAGTGTAAAAATAACAAAAAAATCAAAATAACTTAAAAAAAAAACTCGCCCCTCCTATGCACGCACACCTGTGTGCACAAGCATTGACCCTGTGCCGGTATGTAAACAGTGGTTGCCCCATACATGTGAGGTATCACCGTGAAAGTCAGATCAAGGGCAGTAATTCTAACACTAGACCTCCTCTGTAAATCTAAAATGGTAGCTTTTAAAGGCTTTTTAAAGCGTTGCCTATGGATATTAAAAATGTATGCAGTTTGTCGCCATTGCACGGGGCATGCACAGTTTTAAAGCATGTCATGTTTGGTAACTATTTACTCAGCATACTATCATCTTTAATATCTTACCAAATAATTGGCCAATATATTGTGTTTTTTGTGCGTTAAAAGTAAAAAAAAGTGTATTTTTAAAAAAACAATTTGCTTTTGAAAAATCGCTGCGCGAGTATTATGCGCCATAAAAAATTGTAGTACCCACCATTTTATTCACTAGGGTGTCTGCTTTAAAAAAATATATAATGTTTGGGGGTTTAAATTAATTTCCTAGCAAAAAATACAGATTTTTTTTCATGTGAACAAAAAGTGTCAGAAAAGGCTTGGTCTTCAGGTGGTTAGAAGAGTGAGTGATGTGTGGCATAAACTTCTAATGCTGGGCATAAAATGCCCCCACCCCCGAAAACAACCCCTTTTTGGAAAGTAGGCACCCCAAGCTATTTTGCTGAGAGGCATGTTGAATCAATAGAATTATTTTTTTACCACAAGTTTTTGGAAAATTACACAATTTTTTTTTTTTTACACAAAATTGTCACTTAAATGATTTATTGCTCACACATGCCATGGGTATATGTGGAATTACTCCCCAAAATACATTTTGCTACTTCTCCCGAGTATGGGGGAACCACATGTGAGAGACATTTTGGCAGTCTAGCCAAGTACAGGACCCCAAAATCCAATAAGCACCTTCAGGCTTTTAAAGGGCTTTATTTCCTCATTACACTTCCTGACTACCTGTCACAGTTTCGGAGGCCCTGAAATGCCAGGATAGCACCTAACCCCCCCAAATGACCCCTTTTTGTAAAGCAGACACCCCAAGGAATTTGATAAGAAGCATGGTAAGTATTTTGCAGATACTGGCCAGAGATTCCCCGCCGGCACCCACTGATCTTCAAGGAACACTAACAGGGGAGAGGTCTGTATGTAAACAATACAGATCTCTCCCCTGTCAGCTCCAGCATGCTGCTTTGTATTGCTCTGCATAGCAGAGCAATACAAAGCTGCATGCTTACATAGTAAAACAGCACACAGCACATAATGTGAAACGCACACAGTTAACCCTTTGATCGCCCTAGATGTTAACCCCTTCCTGCCCAGTGTCATTAGTACAGTGTCAGTGCTTTTTATTAGCACTGATCATTGTATTAGTATCACTGGGGATGTCAGTGTCAGTTAGTTAGTTCCCCCCAGTGTCAGAATGGCTGCTGAAGTCCCGCTGTAAGTCGCTGATCGCTGCCATTACTAGTATTAAAAAAAATCAGTATATACAGTGAGGAACAGAAGTATTTGAACACCCTGCGATTTTGCAAGTTCTCCCACTTAGAAATCATGGAGGGGTCTGAAATTCACATTGTAATTGCAAACAAAGGCTTCTGTACCAAATATTAACACTGATTTTCTCAGGTGTTCAAATACTTATGTACAGCAGTGCAAGACAAATAAATTCTTTAAAAATCATACAATGTGATTTCCTGAATTTTTTTTTTTCAATTCTGTCTCTGAGTGGGAATGCACCTACAATGTGAATTTCAGACCCCTCCATGATTTCTAAGTGGAGAACTTGCAAAATCGCAGAGTGTTCAAATACTTCTTTTCCTCACTGTATACTGCCATTTGTACGCTATAACTTTCACGTAAACCAACTAATTTACACGTTTTGGGATTTTTTTTTTTAGCAAAAATAAGTAGCAGAATTTTAGCCTAAATTTATGATGAAATTTGATTCTTTAAATTTTTTTACTGGATATGTTTTATAGCAAAAAATCAAAAATTTTTTTTTTTTTTTCAAAATTGTCGGTCTTTTTTTTTTGTTTATAGCGCAAAAAAATAAAAAACACAGAGCCGATCAAATACCATTTAAAGAAAGCTCCATTTGTGGGAAAAAAAGGACATAAACTTTTTTTGGGTGCAGCATTGCATGACCACACAATTGTCAGTTAAAATAACACAGCATCGTATCGCAAATAATGGCCTGGTAAGAAAGGGGATGAAATCCTTTGGAGGGCAAGTGGTTAATAAATAAATAAACTTGTTGCAAACAAAAAAGGATAAATTGGAAAAAAGCTGATTCGTAATTAATCCATATTAATGCATTTCATACATAAGTAAATATACTGTCGGCCATATAAAATCCAGATGTCAATACATTATTAAAATTGCATCCAAATCTCGACGTGGTTCCTGACTCTTTGTTCACCTCCTCAGGAGTAGATGCATGTATAATATAAATCATTTAAGAGTAGACATGACAGTATCTGCAAATGGCGATGGTCAGGGTAGTCTCACCCAGGAGCCGTCGAAGTGTTACCCAGCTAGAATCCAAGGGGAAGCAGACTCAACGTGGGTTTGCAAACCATAATGGCACCTAAAATAGTTGCATAGTAGCAATAGAAGTGTTGCTTCTCAGTATCTCATGGAAAAAAGAATATTGCCACTGCATTAGTATACACCGCCTTCAAGTTAGCATTTTGTAGATGTAGTTTTGGCAGCAGTTACAACCTTGAGTCTATGTAGATAGGTCTCTGCTCTTTATCAGCTCTGTACGTTGCAATTTTTCACATTTGGCCTTTGTGAAACTACTCCAGCTCTGTTAGGTTACTTGGGGACTGTGAGCAAACAGCCCTAACTTCTTTAATAAATTGAGATGTGAACTTAAACTTTGCCATTTCAAGACTTGCTTTTACTAACATTGTTGCTTTTATGCCATTTTTGTGCAGTTTTGGCTTTATGCTTCAGTCATTAGGGTTAAATACTAAAGGCAAATTGGCTGTTCACTTGCAAGGGAATTTTCCCATAGCTCAGTGAATGAGGTGAAACTTTGCTGACTTCCATCATGCAACTTTCTGCAAGAATAAAATACAGTTTTTTTTATTTTGCTTGCACATGATTGAGTATTTTTGTAAAGTAAATTTTTACAACATTCACTAAACTAAGAGAAAAAGTAAATCAACCCAATTGTCTTGCTGAAATCCAAATCTTCTAAAGTTAAAGAATAATTCCAGGCATGGCTGGGCAGAGTCTCCTAGGTGCCTTCTGGCAAACTGTTCACAGCATTCATTTGTGTTCGTTTTATAAATGGCTTTCTTATGCCACACTCCCAAAAATCTGGCTAGTGAAACACGAGGGCTACAGTTGTATGTATATTTTCTCTCAATCTCGGCCATTGTTTCCTGTAACTCCATTAGAGTGGCAATAGGTCTCATCTGTCTGCAAAAAGATAGTAATGAGAAGAGTATGTGGTAACTGTAAGGCTCAATTTTAATTCCTTTTATTGCCAACTAGATCCTAACAAATGCTTTACATATTCACCGTGTGTAAATAAATTCCTTTACAAAAGACATTACTAGTTCAGTAACTGTTTTATAACTCACAGATTTGTAAATAAGAGCTGTTCTTTTGAACGTTTTCATTTTAGTTTAACATTTCTCTCTTTTAATTTACAGACCGTTGAAAACTGTGTGTGCATTTTAAGGAACCTCTCTTACCGTCTAGCTGCAGAAACTTCTCAGGGACAACAGATAGGAACTGATGAGCTTGATGGATTACTTTGTGGTGAAACAATCAACAAGGATGCTGAAAGTTCAGGATGCTGGGGAAAAAAGAAGAAGAAAAAGAAATCTCTAGACCAGGTAAGAAAAAAATACTTTAGTTAAATAGTTGAGAAGTGTCTGTTTTTTCCCCATTGTTTCAAATCAGATATTTTCCTCTAAAAGAGGATCTATCATCAAGATTAACATTCCTTAACTGAAATAACACAACAAATAAATCTTTAGAAAAAAACTATGAATTTTGAGGTACTTGTAAATGCTGTATCTTGGAGTACAGTTCAAATGATTGAACCTCACTCACTCTGTGAGGCTCCAATTTTGTTATCGAGCAATAGAGAAAGAAGAGGGGAGAGATATGTGTCCAGTACTGTACTCCCAAGAAATGGAAATTACAGGTACATGAAAATTCCTCTTATCCTATCGTACAGTACAAGACCCAGGAAGTAATTCATAGATCATGGGACATCCCCAAGCAATAATCGAGTGGGCTGGCAACAAGACAAATAAACAGCCACAATAGACCCACAGGAAGAAAGGAGACCAAAGGACCTCAAACTAAACTGTAGACACACCATGCGTCAGGAGCTTCACTGAAGACTGAACTGCCATCTAGCAATCAATGGTTTGGAAACAATGCACAACAGAATTTAGGCTTTGGCTCTGCTTAAAGAAGGAGTGCAGAATAGGCCCCAGAAATCAGGACATGGGTTAGGGATGGATGGGTGGTATTGGAACAAGAAGCCCCAAGGGTGGATATTCCGGTAAGAAATTAGAGAAAAGGAATGTGGGGCAGCTTCTCATTGAGACATGGCATAGCCATAGATGTCATACCTGGCCCCCAACCCTGAAGAGGATTACTGGCAAAATGCTTTGCAGGCCAGCAGGACATATCCCCAAGTTCAGGGAAGAGTAGTCCAAGTAAGGCTGCCGTTGTTGATATGGACATAAGAGGATTGGAACCATTTACAAGGACAGCTTGGGATGGCCACGAGGTGACAGAGAGTCCACTGTTTTTCCTGTTTTTACCAAGCAGGAAAAACATCTTGTGCCCAAATGGGGATTTAAAGGGAGACATTCAATATGCTACCACAGGGAATATTCAGGTGGTAAGTATATTAGGAAATTGTCTGCCCAGGTTGTCCTGTATTATAGGTGAACAAGTGCCAAAGATACTTTTGACCATAGGTACAGAGGAAGGAAAACCCCCAAGAAACCCCAAGAACAGGGGGATTTATAGCATTTATGATGCAATCTGATAAAAGTGTACTCTATATCAAGGTTGAGACCTAGACAGGGGAGGACCAATTAAATACCCTATCCTGGAAACAACAGTTGGCGAAGTTCAGACATGGAAGGGATGAGAAAAAAAGGTGTGTTGGAGCTCAGGACAAGGCCTGAGGGTTAAGTCAGGGAAGTCATATTATGGCAGAAGAGGGCAGGTGGGTTCCAGATTGTGTAAAAAATATCACGAGTAGAGGGGGTTAGGAACTGGTTACTCAAGAGAAATTAAATATTCCTGTGCTGTCTTCAGGAGAATCTGGATAAGAGCAAAATAGAAATCTCATAAAGGGCAGTCTTAAAAAAATGTCTCAAAAATTAACTTTTTTTTTTTTTTGTATGACTCAGACATAGACAAGATAGCCTTGCTGAGGAGGGTGTCTGAAGAGGTGTTAGTATCTAGACAACAAAATGTAAAAAAAAAACAAAAACAAACACTTACCACAATATGTTGGCACAGCCTTTGGGGAGTATCAAAAACAGCAGGTTTTGGATTATAGAATTTAGGCAGAGAATCCAACTGGTTATCCCATGGAATGAAAACAATGGCAATATTCTAGCACCCCATGGACATAATGAATGGAAGTAGTCATTCACATCAGTTACAAAAGGGAAAAGCAGAAATGGAAGAAATGAACCCACATAGTACACTCAGGGAAGGAGAAGAATTTCTCTGGCATCATACATTTTGATGCAGATGTTGTACAGGAGTTTAACTTTAGATTAGACAAATAGCTTTGTCAGGATCACCTTGTGGAAGCTTGACTATCAAAATAACAATGTGGTATGTAACCTTTAACCCTTTTGCTACCACCCGGGAGGGAGATCAGTCAACATCCATTCGCTGATCTCCCCTTCCTGCTAATAACCCAGAAGCAATGTATAAAACGTCTCATCCGAGTCCTGGTGATTTGCACTCCATTAGCTTTGTTAGACGGCAGGTGAGACATCAGGGGGATTTTAAAGCCCTTATGTTTCATTAAAGGGAACCTGTCACCAAACACATAATCACATAGGGAATTTTTTTTTCCATTTCTGATGAAAAATAATATTTAGTTAAAAAAAAGTGTAAAAAAATTAAGTTGCACCCACCCACCGCGCTAGAGGTCTGCCAATCCTTGCAGGGGCGCTTGCAAGTTTTATAGGAGGGAGTGGGATGGAGGTAGAGACTGAATTTCTAGTTTGTATCCTTTGGATACAGCAGTCTAGACCCAAATGTTTAAAGTTTCTTGGGGCCAGACCAACAGGCATCTCCCCACTCTGACAATTGGGGGTGCATTTTGAAGATCTGGGGGTCAAGGATTAATGGCTGAGCTGAGGTCCAGTCTTCACCTTGGACTTGGAAGCCCGGGAGAAATGAAAGGACGTCAGTCTCAGGAGTAGAGGTTTTCCCAGGCTGAGAGTTTGCATTCTTTTTATGGGGCAAAAGAATACTCTTCCCCCTAGTAACTTCCTTGATAAAGTTGTCCAGAGATTCATCAAGGAGGCATTCCCCATCAAATGGCATATGTATAATTCTTCCCTTGATACAATTGAGGAAGGAGTTACCCCTGATGGGGTTAAAAAATACTACAAGTAGTGTTGTAACTCAGACTCAGAATTTTTTCACACAAATAGAGCTTTCTTTTGGTGGTATGTAACACCACTGGGTTATCTTTTGCTAATGTGACATGGAGTAGTTAGCTTTTGAGGTAAATGCGTTATTTTAGTGAGTCCATGGCAGACAGAAACTATTTTGGTAGCCCACTTTTATTTGAAAGAAAGCAAATGTTCACAAACAAATGACTTCCCAAGCAGGGGATCTTCTCCAACTTCAGCAGAAATACATACACTGGATAATGCCAAGCCACCTGCTTCATAAGCTCACTCAGCTTCAATGGCAGTACCACGCTACACCTGTTACCAGTCTCTCAGACTGTGTTGTCCAACTCTCTTGGATATTTGGCTCTCTAGCCTTTAATTACAGCACCATGCTGCACAGCCCACCTCTGGCCTATGGACTGGGGTTCTCCTATCACCCCCATAGGAGCTGACTCCTTGAACCTCTGGCTGGGCCCTCTGACCCTCTCAGTGAGACCTTCCATCTCCCCACTGGGAGCAGTCTCCAAACTGGGAGCTCTGAGCTATTCTCAGACCTGAGTATATAACGACACCACACACTTGTGTACTCCAGATTGCAGGTGTCTAGCAAAACCTGGACACAAGATTTAATGTTCCAATGCAGAGCTGCAGAATCCAGAGAAAGCCAAATCCACAGCTTTCTCTGCCCAGAAACACTAGTCTGGAACATCACATTCACCCTAAATGCAAATCCTGTGTCACATTTTCTTGTCTTCTCACAGTGACAGAGTCTTGTCCTGTCACACTAAATAAATGAAAAAGACCTAAAATTAGACAAAAAAACAACTAGTTTTTCTTTGTTTCTGTTAGATTATTTATTTGCAAAATTTTATTTCTTCATAAATGTAGGCCAAAATGTATTCTGCTACAGTTCTTTGGTGACAATAACCGTGATCAGTGTATATTATTTAGTCTATAGGAAAGTTATAGAATCCATAAACTATGATCAATCCTGATGTATTGACCTCATTTCTTGAGGCCCGAAAATGCCAGGAGAGTCCCCCAAACGACCCCTTTTTGGACAGTCCAAGGTATTTATTAAGAGGCATGGCGAGTTTTTTGAAGATGTAATTTTTGGAAAATTAAGAAATTTAAAAAAAAATTCCCCAATTATTTTTTTACAGTGTCTTCATATAACTAGTGTGGCAGTTGTCATGGGCACTGACTGGTGACAGTATGCAAAATATATTTTTTCTATTTTTTTTTTTTTACAATATTTAAAATACTGTAACCAGAGCAATACCGTTTTACCATAATAACACTGTACTACTCTGGGGAAGTGATTGAGTTTTTTTTTTAAACACTATACTTGCTTATACCAGTGAATTTCACTGTTATAAACCATACGGAATGAAATCTATTCAATATTTACTATTGTTTACTATTGTTGATAGCTGTGCTTATCACAAAATATAGATGGGCTGTGATTGGTCCTTTTTGTACCATATGATCACTGTGACCAATCAATGAATGCCCTCCATTTTGTTAGATTGTCATGTGATCTTCTGTTATTGGTCACAGCAATCACATGGTACCAGCAGCGGCCAGTGGACACAGTGGGTGACAGATCGCACTGCAGCAAGGCCTGTTCCGAGGAGGACGCCATATGACTTCCACCCAGAACGACGAGTGTCCCGCCTGGCCATCCTTTGACAATAGGCAAAGTGGGAGCTGGTTAAAGCAACCAGGAAGGGACTCCTGACCAGTAGGGCTGAAAGCTGGTGCATCAGCAATAGGGCCACTGGAGCACTAGAATTCATATGTGGCGCATCCCCCCCCTACCCCCACTGATCGTATAACTGATAGTGCCACAGCCAGAGCCCATACAAATAGCCCTTAGGGGAAGTCTGGGACAACTAAGCATCAAGCAGGCTTCTGTACACATGGACAAAAGTCCTACTCACCTGAGAAAGCCCTGCAAACCCCCAGAAGCACAATTGGGGAAAGAGAGGCTGGATCCAGGGAAACATACAGCTCCCGCTAGTCTTTGCACTGCAGACATACAGCATCAGAGTGCACCGACAACAGCCCTGGACCTGTAAAGCAATCTGCAGTTGCATCACACATTGCACATAGGTGCCGAGGCAAAGACTTTTGGCAGGGTTCAATGCCAAAAGAGATATTGCAGGCCAGACCTGTTTCATTCATTCTTGGCACCGACATGCATCTAAGCCAGCAGTGCA